TCCAACAGTCGTTCTTCGCCGCTTGTCACGATTTTCTTTGATTTAATCTCAACGTAAAGGGACCGCTCGGCAAACCGAATCTGCAGACGACAGGTCCCGAACGAACCCTGGATCATCTTTAGCTTTCCCGTGTAGCTTGCGCTGTTATTTCTCGTTTCGTCCAATGGACGTGAACGAGGGAGTGCAAAAAAATGATCTCACTTAAACACAGGAGAGTTGGACAATGAGTTAGCTTCAATGTTAGCACCCTGGTTAGCAGTGGCCGAAGATCCCAATGTTAGCTCGTCGCTAATAGTTTAAGCTATTAGTTATTATTAAAGCTAGCTAAGAGGAGGGTGAGTAGGAGTATTGTTTATGTGCATGTGTGGTAAATCGAACGTGGTGGAGAAAAATGTGTAAGGAAAGCATTTCATAGTAGCTGGTTGATAATTAGTCCACAGTGTCATGTGACCGGCTCTGAACTTGTAGTTCCTCTTCAACATCCATCATCTGGTCACTGTCACGAGTGTGTCGAGAAACGGCTATGAGTGGATTCAGTTCGAGCACACTAAAGAATACTTCACATTAGAACAGTAACGATTAGTGAAAAGAAATCGTTGAGTTGTCGTTTTATATTGTCGTTTATATTGTAGTTGTAATTTAGGTTGAAACTGAAATGTATACTGTACCTTATAATGTTGTGCCCTAAATTGCACCAAACTAAAGTATAATCAGCCTATATATGTACACATGTTTATCATCATGTGCATTCGTTTATGATAAGAGTTAATTTTGGATTACTACCCCTCAATTTTAAGTATACTATATATATTTATTTGTCCTCCAGAAGGCGCTGCGGTTCAAAACTAGTAGCTGTCAAACAAAAAAAAAGGTTTTACTCTACTTTTTTCAGTTAAAAACAAATGAGGCCTTTAAAGTGTCATATCCCCCACAATATGATTTGTGTTTGATAAGTGTATTTGCAGTTGAAGTAGGTCTAAAAGATTGAGTCATTAAAAATGGCTTAGTTTGAACTTTTTAGACCCTCTGAGAGACAAATGGGGACAATTCAGAAACTTT